CAAGGCGAGGCGAGCAGCGTCCTGAATGCGAGTCGTGTACGTCTTATTATCAAGTTAATTAAAGCTAGCATCTGACAATGTCACTCGGCTGTAGAAAAAAGGGATTTAAATGCAGCGTCTCCCAGGACCGCGTGTCAAGGGCTGCTTCCCATTGAGTTGTTTGGAGGAAGCGGGCCCGCGATGGAGGGGCGGGGGAGGGGCGGGGAGGGGCGGGGAGGGGCGGGGGGAGCCCTTTAAAGCGACCGCTCCAGGAGCAGCAATTGACAAGGAAGCAATTATGAAATTTTGATGTTCAGAATGGGGGGGGGCGGGCGTGAGAGCAGAAGCCGAGCGACTCCCCGCAGCGCCGCCGCGGCCGAGGGCCTCTGAAGAGCTCTCGAGACGGGCGGGGGTCGCCCCGGCCGCCCCCACCGTCATTAAAGGCCCCTCTCAAACACTCCAAGAGCTTTTCGGAGCGCGAGCCGGCCCGGCAACATTAGAAACACGGGGCGATTGAAATGGGCACATTGAGATGCGCGGAGCCGGCTGCTGCGCGGACTCGCTCTTGAGGTCAAGTGACGGACGGATTGTATGCTGCTTCATAATAATATTAATTAAACAATTTGCATGCTAATAAGGTAACAATTATCAGGGCCTCTGTTGAAAGATTCAGGTTATTACAACACGCCAATCTGAAGGCCAGGGGTCAGAGAGTGAGAGGCGAGCGAAATTTCAACTCAAATTAACATTCTGTCAGCTCCAGAAAATGGGATAAATAAAGTCGAATTAATTCATTATAATAAAGAGAGATGGGCGAGGGAGCCCGGCCGGCGCCCGCCCCTCCCCTGCCCTCCCCTCGGGCCGAATTGATTACAGCTCTGTATTCAGAAACACGCGCCGGGCGCATTCCTGCCCGCGAACCGACGGGGAACGAGGCGCTATGACTACGGGCAGACCCGAGGCGGCTGGACAGAGTTTACATTCAGTATTTATAGAGAAAGAAATTAAATTATGGCGAAAAGTAGTGCTCTTGGCCCCTGACCTCGGGATTAATACTTGCAGCGTTTTCCTAGCGCGACAGTAGTGGGGGCGGGAGTCAGGTCCCAAATTCCAGGCCTCCTCTCCCTCTCGGCGAGGTTGCGCGCCTGTCCCGCGGCCCCCGCGCCTCTCCCGCGTATCGAGCGAGGGCAGAGACCAGGGTAGTGAAATCGCGGGCGGCGCGCCCCGCCACATCTAGTTCGGACCCTCGCCAGGGCGCGGGTCCAGCGCCTGGTCCTCGGGCAGGTCTGGGCGGAAGCCGGCGCAGGGGGCGTGGGGGCAGTCCTCGCCCCCTCCGGCCCTCTCTTCCTGTCGACCCGGGCGGCTGGGTGCAGCCCTCGCCGGGCACGGACACACACGGATAGTCGCAGACACAGGAACGGGCGCAGGACAGGCGCAGACGCGCAGACGCACAGTCCAGGCCTGCCCTCCCCCTTCGCTCCTGGCTCGGGGCTTGGCAGCCTGGCTGAAGCCACTTAACCGCCGAAGGCCACCTTGCCTGACGCTTTGCCCCGGGGTGAGAGGCTGCCGGCCGCGAGGCTCTAGGACTGCCCGGGACCGAGGCCGGAGTCCTTCCCCACCTGGGGGCTGGCCGCTGCAAGGTGCGATCTCCCCACCGACAAACTTTTTTACAGTGGATGTTTAATAGACATACATATATCCTTCCCTTCTGACCACGGCCCTAATTTGCTGCTTATTTAAGCATGTATCTTTTAATGATTGAGCTTTGAGTCTATCAGTATTTTATAGTGGAGAAGGGAGTGACACGTCTCTGAGAACATAATTTATAACAAATGGTTTGGGTGCCTCGACCCTATTCTTCAGAGGCCGAGTCAAAGCAAGATGTATTTTTTTTAATTTGCGTGTGTAGGGGGCCTGATTGGCTGCCACCCCAAAACTACTTTTCCCCTCTGCCTTCCCCCTCTCCCCTCCGCCCCGCGCCAGGGTTTACCCGGGTAGGGGTAGGGTGGGGGATCAGGGTGCCTCCCCAGCCGCCCCCACCTCTGTGTTTATAGACTGGACGTCTGCCAATCAGAGAGGGCATTAATTATGCCTGCTTATTGACAGGGCTCCCTTCGGTAGAAGTCAGCCTCTTCCCGAGTCACCCTCCTCCCTCTGCTCCCTCTGCCCCTTCCTCCTCCTCCCCTCTGCTTCCTCCTCTCCCTCGCCGCCTGGAGCCGGAGAGATGAGAAGCCCTTGTAGTTTTAAATTCAATGTGACAGTTTCGGAAAGAGCGGATGATGAATCTGCTATTATTGGATCAGTCTATTTGCCGCTCAATGTCTCTCTGTAATTGGAGCAACATCACTTTAAAGGTTCAGAGAGTACAGCATTTCTGGTGAAAAATCCCCGCAACACGCCGGCGAGTGTTTT